GTAGGGGGGGAGGGAGGGAGGGAGGGAGGGAGAGAAGGGGTAACAACCTGTTTGGCAACACCATAAGGAGATCGTGGGTAAAAAGGCGTGGTTTCAGACTGAGGCACTTCTTGCACCTTGCCGTACAGCTCAGAGGTGGAAGCCTGGTACAGCCGGGTTGTTTTCTCCAAGCCACACGCCCGGACGGCGTTCAAGAGGCGAAGGGCACCGATCCTGCAGGGCAAGGGAAAGCAGGGATGAATGATGAATGTGGAAGAAAACACGGCGACGCACAGCGATGAAAAGACCTCGGCGACGGACGAAGACACGACCCCAAGCGGGAGTACCGTCGGCAGACGAGGCAAGGAGAGAAGACAAGGTCCTTACCCGTCCACGTCAGCGGTGTACTCCGACATCTGGAAGGACACCTTCACGTGGGACATGGCTCCTAGGTTGTAAATTTCGTCGGGGCGGATCTGGGAGATGAGCTGAGACGGGAAGAGGGGAAAGGGAGGGATGATTCAGATGAAGTGCGCAGGCGGGAGTACACAAGGGAAGAGAAAAAAAAATGCTAGTACCTGAGTCAGATTCGTCGAGTCCGTGAGATCTCCGTAATGCAGGAAGAAGCGCACGCCCGCGGCATGTCTATCCTTGTAGAGGTGCTCGATCCGGTGCGTGTTGAAAGTGGAGGAACGTCGGATGATCTGAAGGTGAAGAAAGGAAGGAGGCATGGGCCTCGGGTCAGTCGCGACAATCTCGGGAGTCAGCCACAAAGAAAAAGTTAAGGCCAGAATTCATTTTTCGCGCCATTTTTGAACACGGAGAGGTCACCCAAGTCACGTTCGTCTCCAGAAAGGCCGTCCACGTCACCCTTTAGCGCTCCTCGCATTCATCCTCCCTCCCTTGCTCATCCTTCTTACCCCATGCACAATGTATCCTTTTTCCAAGAGAAATTCGCACAGGTAGGACCCATCTTGGCCCGTGACCCCTGTGAGCAAAGCGACCTTTCGGCGTTCCCCTGCTCCGTTGTACTCCACCTGGATTGAGAAGCGTATGGTTGAATTATAATCTGTAATGTTACTCTAGCTCAGACCTTCCCTCTTCAAATCTCATGCTGTGTCCACATCCTGATCGGAACACAAGACACGTTTCTAATGGGAGATGGGAGGGAGGGGAGGGAGAAACCGAAGCGGCGAGGGAGAACTGAGTACCTGGGCGTCCGGGGAGAACACAGCCTCCGGCATGCTCATATTGGCGGTGTCAAACCCACCAGTCTCGTGTTCCATGCTGAAAGAGAGTGGCGAAAGGGCTGGTTGTCTGTGAATAGGGAGGGGGGTATGGAGGACGACGTGGGCGTGAAAGCAAAACGGTTTCCACAGCCGATGATCAGAAACTGGAATGGGCCATGCACCCTGGCCAAAGTCGGGCCGGATATATTCTTATCCGCAGAAAGCTACGGCTTCGTCAATGGATACAAATCGGCGGGTTCAAGGTTTCGGGAAGGGAAAAGCGATCAAAGAATGCGCAGGATCAGGTTTACATAGGCCTCTATAGGCGATTGAAACTGGCACACCACAAGAACATCGTTCTTCTGGCCTCCCTTGTTAGACTGTAAAGCTCTCAAATGAGAGAAAGTGGAAAAATCCCAACTTGGATCAAAGCTGCATTGAATAGAAAGTGTACGATGGGCATGTCCGCACCAAAGAAGTTTGCACACGGGCACCCACACAGCACACGACTGAGGGTGATGAGATGGGGGGCAGCGCCGAATGCCTTCGCCGAGGCCAGAAGTACAAACCAGAAATCACGATATGGCGTGATGGGATCATTCTAATCCACACACATCACAAGAAAGATTACATGCAATGTGCTCTTTACACTCCGAAAGGAGCATTCAAGGGCAGATTCTAGGTATGAAATAGTCAAAATTCCGTTGATCGTGCTCAGATGCTTTTTTGAAATGAATTTATGGGTGCGGTGGATTGCCTTGCCCTCCTTCAAACTTTCAAATAACCGTTACGCGCCGGCGAGAATGATAGATGCCTTTCTGTACGCCTGTGTCAATTTCACATTTCTTCTTTGGTTCTCCCCGCAGTTTGAGCATCGCATCAAAGAATGGTTTTAAAATGGTTCAAAATCCCTTAAATTGTCTACCAATGGAAGCATGCCAGCTTACGACAGAGTTACGCGTCTTGAAGGCTCCAAATGTAAAATAAAATCGTCTGGCCATTGTTCGGGTCGATTGATTTTTTTTTTGCGACAACCTTATATGACTCGAGGAAAATAGGTGGGGCAGCATATGCATACCGGCACACCTGATCAGCAATTGCTATTTTTAGTGCGCTAGAACAATATCTTGATCTGTAATCCCCTACACAATTCTCTATATTGATAATCGTGCTAATGTAGACGATTGCTTCTATGTTTGACTTGTCATTTTACAGGACACCTTGCGCGAGATACTTTGAGCTCCATGCCGATACAATAAATCTTGAGTATTGGTATTGATGTCTTTTTTACGTAGCCCGGCCAAGGGACCTTCTGCTAGGCTCGCGCTCTGCCTATCTGTCACACTTTACCTTTAGCCATGACTTTTCACCTCTGTTTCCCTCCCGTATTCGCCGCTTTCTGTCTCACAATAACACTCCCGGAGGCATCGCATGTACATAGCTTTCCTTCTCCCAGGGAAGCAGGTTGAAGGCTAAATTTAAATCAGGCCTTTTCCTCCTCCTTCTCACTCTGAGGTATACCCCTCCTTCCCCCTCAATCCCATCCCGATCTTCCTGCAACGCACTCACGAGCCCACCCACCCCTTCTTGAGTGATACGATTGGCAGCCAGGTCCAAAAATTGGAGGGAGGGGAGGAACCCGTGGGCTAAGGCCGCCGCGACTTCACTCGCACCTTCATCCCCGGCACCATTGAGAAAGAGATTTAGGATTTGGAGGCTCTGAAGAGGGTAGGAGGAAGCCTCAGAAGGGACCGTGACAAGAAGGGGGGGGGGCAAGGCGGAGGAGGAGGACGTCGATGCCAGATAGGACGACGAGGCGAAGTC